TAAACAGTAACAAAAAACCCAAAACAAACCAAAACAACAAACACAGCCCAACCAGACAATAAAAGCAAAACAACACAAAGAAAAAAAACAAAATTCCTCTGGCATCCACTCTTCTGTGGTACTGTCCAAATCGGTGCCCCACCAATTCTACAATAGGATTAGTGCTGGACTGGATGTGGGGCTGATCTTGACCTCCAGATCTGTGGGCTGTGGCAGTCTACAGCCAGCAGCTGGATGGCCCACCCACTACTCATTACCCTGTTTGTCTCTGTGTTGCTCTGCTGGATGCTGTGGTGCAGAGATTGCCCAAGGCTGCTCCCAGACACATATGCAGTTGGCCACTCCCAGGCCTACTCCATTCCACACTGCTAACTCCTCACACTCTGCCCTCCTTGTCCTGTCTTGCATGCGTAGTTGCAAGTCTGTTGCTTGCTGGTTGTCCCAAGTGGGAGGGAGGTGCTGACTTCCCAGTGGAAGGGTGCTTGTGGTGCTGGTCACTGGGCACAGGGCAGGAAAGTGACTGTCCCAGGTGCCGCACGATGGTCCAAGTCACTTTTTTGTGCCTGTCATAGGGCAAGTGGAGTTGTGTTGCTTCATTAGCAATCCTCAATGCTGTGGCCAGTCTCTAACCTTGTTGTGAGTAGCAGTTCCACTTGGTGGTTATGGTACTTGACAAAGAAAAAAAAACTGGTGGCCCATCAGGGAGGGAGCTGTCACTCACCCCTCTGTGTACCAGTGAAATTTGTTGCCAGGCTGCCATGTCCTCCGTAAGAAATTACGGAGGGGCTTTATATTCTAGGACTACCCTTGTAGACTGAGTTTGCCACACCTTTGCAGTCTGTTTTTTGTGCGTGTTTTGTTCTGGGAACTTCCTGGGAATGGTGGTTCCTGCTCTGATCTGGATCCTGCCAGTGGGAAAAGTACGGGCAGCCCTATGGGCTGGTTTATCTTTTTATAAAGTCCTATGCCTATATTTTGTTTGATCTCCAAGTCTCTTATTTCAGATTAATTTTGGTATCAACAGGTATGTCCCTGCCTTTCTTCCAAATGTTCTTAGTTGACTTTCTTTGACAAACTCCAGTGTGAGTCCTCCATTATTCAGCCATATTCAATCCCGAGTCCTGCTGGTTTTTATGACGTACTCAGTTCATCTTTTCTGTTGTCTTCTTCTGAAATACTTGGTTTTTCCTTGCTAGTCGTTTCAGTGATCAGTTTCTCCTCTGCTCTGTCTTTGCAGCCCAGTATTTTATTGGAGCTTCCTTTCTGGCCAAACTCACACTTTGTATTCTGCTGGGTTCTTTGCTCTTGATTCTCAACATAAATCTGTTAAAAGACCCCAAAAGAAGCCATGCCACTGCTTCAACATTAGACTGCCTTGAGATTTCTTCTGCAAGATTAATTAGTCTACCATCCTTAATCCTAGTCTCAGGCAGTCTCTGGACATGAGTAAAATTCAGACAAGCTTTCTGCCAAGTTATAAAACACATTGTCTGAAGTCCAGCAGCTAATGCAGTCCTTCTTCCCAGCAGAAACCTCCCAAGCCTGGTCTTTACAAGTAGGATTCTATCAGCATTCTGGTCTTCTGACCTTTCAGCAGAATCTCCCATAGAGTACAGCCTAAAGTGTTCCAGCTCTACTTTTTCAGGTGGCATCTCTGAAACTTTCTAAACTCTTCCCACAAGCCAGCTTCAAATGCTCCTAAACCACACGGTAAGGTACAGTCACAGCAACAACCCCATTTCTCTGGTACCAAATTGTCTTTTCTCATTGCTGGTACAAAATACTTGACACCCAAAGTTAAAGGAGGAAAGGTTTACTTAGCTCACAGTTTGTAGAGATTTCAATCCATAATTGTTTGACTCCAAGGCAGAGCCTTGGAATGTAAGCAGACATTGCAGAGAAGAAATAGTTCATGGAGGATATAAGGCAGCAAAGCAAGCAAGGGATGACTACAGCTCTTTCTATCCCTTATATCTTTGTTTGTTTGTTTGTTTGTTTTATTTTAAAGAGTAAAAGAAGGATAACAATTACACACAAAGTGGTAGGAAATTATCAATGGTTATTGTTTTACATTTGTTATCTACAAGATAGTTTCTCAGGAAAACAAATAGACAAATAATAGTGAGTTACAGACAAAAGAGGTAGGAGATTATCAATAGTTGTACTACACTTAGGTATCTTCGAAAGAAAATAAATAGAACTATACATGAGTGACCTATTGAATAATCATTAACTATTCTCCATGGTTGTAGGAAACACATAATAATAAACATGCATCCATTTATGAAATAGGATAGGAACAATACAAACATTACAGAGTTATGGATAGAGTAGTAGGAAAATATCAATGACTGCTGTAATACATGTTGGTATCTTCGAAGTGGTTTCTCAGGAAGACAGAGATATTTAAGAAGGATCTAACAAGTAGTTACAGCCTAAGGGTTGTCAAAAATCAAGTGAGCCATCTGGGGCCAAAGCCATTTTTTGTAGCATTTTCTCTCCAGCCTCCCATCACATTGGGACCCCACAACCAGTTAGTGTCCTCTCCCCAGCTGTCAGCACAGGCATCAGGAATCCTGTTGCAGACTTCTCTGGAGCTCCACCACAGCCTGCACTGTCAGGGGAAGAATGGCTTCCAGGGAGTCTTCGCATGTATTGTGCAAGGTCCTCCTGGTTTACAGCTTCCGAGCAGCTCTCATGACCCCAGTCCACAGGACCTCTGACCCTTTGGGCTTAGTCTGCATTCTCATGTTCTCTGAGTCCTTGTTCAGCAGCTGCTCCTCCACTGACTCTGGACCTTTCTGGTTCTCAATGGCAGGAGCAAGAGTGGCCCATTGTATAGCATGTATTCCCAGGGGTTTTTCCATGTTTGAATGATTCACACACGTCCATAGGTGGGCATCTGCAGCCGGTGCATGGTGGGCCAATTGTGTCATTGTTTCTCTGTGTCATGATAGTTTTCAATTGAGCAGCGGTGGCAGGCCTGAAGGCCGGGAGCCTATGAGGCAGGAAGTGAGCTGCCGGTTGGAAGACCGGTGCTCCCCGCCTGTGGCTCCCCGTGCGCCCGGGGCACTCCCTCTGGGGGCCTACGAGGCAGGGAGCGAGCTGCTGGTTGGAAGACCTATCCCTTATATCTTATCTAGGCTACTTAAGGTAGGTAGTACTCACACTCATAATCCTAGTATTGCACCATGAAACAATCACACTGTAGATTTAGCTACATCTGAAAAAGCCCCATCTATGACTGCATGTGGATTTGGCGGGGGGTCATCTAGACCCAAGCCACAACACAAACCTACTTCTCTGGGTCCAGCAGAGAAAAGGTATACTACTCCTGTGCTATAAGAAGTTGATTTAGGCAAAACCAGTCTATAATAGCAGGCAGATCTGATTGGACCATATACAGGCCCAGTTGCACCTTGAAACTCATCACCCTGGCTACTTTTGCATCTTACTTGGGCCAGATGAGTACTGTGCAGATACTTGTTCATGCCCACATGAAGATGCATGCCTACCTTTCCCGCGAGTAGTTTATCACCCAATGCACCACTCAGTTTGTTTAGCTGGACTGCCTCTAGAACAGAGATGGCAAAATTTTTAGAGACTAAGGGTCCAAACTGTAACCCAAAACTCACTTATTTATTGCAAAGTGCCAACACTCTAATTAAACCTGAATACTGAGGTTTTGCTTTAGAAAAAATCCTTTGTCTTAAAAGAAAAACACAATAGAGCTTTCAATGATACAAAGAGCCTGGTGCAACAAACGTGCCATGGGTTCGCCACCACTGATCTAGAAGCTCCATGTGGATGCTATCTTCTTCCTAGAGGACCATCTGGACCGGGTGCTTAGGTAACTGAAGACATTCTAGAAGAAAGTGTCAATAACTTGCTGCCATTGCAGATTTAGACATGGACTCTCTGCCCCACTGACCAAGCATCAGTCAGCTAAAACACCTGGGTCTAAGAGCCATCATACAGACAAAATTAAGCCCACAGCCTCTCCAAATTCTGCTAGAGAACACCGACATCACCCTGAGGTGAACTTGGAGACCTGTGGGATCATGGACTTGCTAATTCTATGCCATGCTGCCTTCCCTGAGCTGCTGCTCCCAGCTTAGGACCTTCCGCTTCGATAGGAAACATATTACCATACCTGTGAGGGAGGACCTGCTGCACCACACTGCCAGGCTAAGTCAGTTATGCCTGGAGTTGTACCCTGCTCCTCAGAAAGGTATTATGCCCAGGGTGCTATACACTGGGTGAAATTTCCCAACTTCACGCTGAGCTGATGGCAATACTCAGGGACTTTACATAGCTAATTTTACATATCTTTTTCAATGTTGTCTCTGTCCCCAGTGTGGCTTCCATGTAATCTAAAACCCATTTTCAATTCCTGTCTGATGCTTACCTAGTTGGGTGCATATATAAAGCTTTCTTTTGGGTACCTGGCAATGAAAGTGAAGACACAGGTCCATCGTAAGGGAAGTGAAAAGCCATCACTTAGACACTGCCTGAAATGTGAGTGGGAAGAGGAAAGGTAATGTGGAGGTCTGATTAGAGGGGAGTTGTGTCTGATGCAGTTACAGTTAGTCCTGTACAGGCTGCCCATGAAGAAACAGTCAGAAGCAAAGGCAACGTCAGTGTTAAATAATCTCGGTAACCGAAGTTAAAATGCAGAGCTCACTGGTGAACCCTGGACTGCAGTATGAATGCCGTACTATCTGTGATTTATATATAAAGGCATATACTCCATACAGTCAAATTCCATCTTGATAAGGACTAGGGACTCTGCAAAGATAACGAGTGTGAAAATGGCTTCCGTCAGAAACACTTACTGCTATGCACAAGAACATACTAAAAGTAGTTTCAATTAATCAGAGACAGGAGGGCCAGGGATGTAGCTCAGTGGCACAAGCACCTGCCTGGCAAGTACAAGGTCATGAGTTCGAGTCCCAGTACCAAAAAAAAGAAAAAAAAAATCAGAGACAAGAAACACTGAACCATGTAACAAAATGCAAAGTTTTTACTTGTATTAATTTAAAAAAATACTGCAATGTCACAGGAGACTTGTATTTATCCCCCTAAAACTTCAGTAACACTTCTAATACTCAGGCATTTTATAAAAACATCTAGGTGCCAGGGACATAAATAACCATTTATAAATTTACTTTCTTCTTGAAAAAGACATACCTAGAAACTTTTATTTTGTGGGAAGTTTAAAGATAATGATCTAGAAGTCATAAGTATTTCTGGGTAAGGATGAAGACCCATCTGTTTGTTATCTTTCAACTTCTGTACTATAATTCTGGCAAATTCTTCTCCTTGGATGTCAGTGGTGTCCAGTAATTGCCTGACTTTTGAGGTCCTTGTAGGTTTGGTACTAATAAGTTCATAGTCCTCCTTCATGAGCAAATCCCTGGACAGAAGGGCATCCAGGGACTGGTTAAGGCAGGCTTCAGTCATCTGGCTCACAATGTCTTCCCTTTTGCTTTGGATCCAATGCTGAGCAATACCAGGCTGCAGGTACTCTGCACAAGAGCACAGGATAAACAATTAAAAAGGTAGGGCAGATATGCAGCAATAAGCATAATTACACGAAAAAGAAATATGTACAACATTCAGCTTTGAAATATCACGTCACTATGAATACAAGTATTTGTGGATACTATTATTTTTTTCAGGAAACATTCAGAGATTTGGGTTACCTTTCCTTTACCTTCCAGAGAAAACAATACTTTTTTATATGCTATAGACCACGGGCAAAAAACTACTTTAATTTTAATTTTACAAAAGCAAACTACTTTTGCTTTTATAAAGGAACACAGCTTTGTTGTCAATAACATATTAGGTAACATCTCCTCTCAGCACTTCCTTCCTTTGTTAGATGCTCCTACAGTGCTACCTGGGCCTAGTGCCACATGCCAGCCCGGGGCTTGAAGTGCTTCCCTACATAAGAAGGTATGAATACACCACACTGAGGAAATAGAACTGAAGAAAACTTACTGTACCCTAAAACTACTGAACACGTATTTGTGAGGTAAATAACAGCATTTACAACGTGGCTTACAGTCAGTATTACCTGAATCCACGAGTGGCTTTATTACTGAAGAGCATAGCGTGGTCCTGTGATCACACAATGTTGCCCTTTGAAATGCAGAAACAGTATTATCCCAACTGTGTTTTACCAGACAGTGATCCAGCTTCACAGAAGAGCAGTCTTGAGTTTTTACTATAAAATACAACATCTTCATTAGCAGAATATTCCTCAGATATTCTAAGCAGCTAAAATATCAATACCTGGGTCACAGTGAAGGAAGGCTCCAAAGTCTTTAGTTTCTCACTGTTACCAAAGCTACTGCAGAAACCTAATTCTGCAAATACATTTTAGAGCAAACAAAGGTTTATACTCAACATTTTTCTGTCTTTTCAGTTTCCTGTATAAATTATGAAATTTCAGTTCTTTTCTATCTCCTGCCACCATCTGCACTTGCAATGTTTCCTATATATAAATGTGTGTCAATATATAGTCAATAGAAAGACTTTTAAATGTGTCATGTCCACATACAATACACACCATCTACTTTCTCCTCTAGCAATCCTGTCCGACCTCAGGGCCTCAGCTGCCCATCTCTGTTCGCGAATGTGCATAATTAAATTTTGTGTCCTCATTGAATATTCTGTCTTAACATTTCAACAGCTCACTGGACATATCCCTACATGCACCACTCACACCCCAAATTGAAGAAAAAAAACATTAAAAACTTAATCATTATTCATCTTAACTCTATTTACTTGTTCATCTCTATAGTACTGGGAATGGAACCCAGAGCCTCCTGCGTGCTAGGCAACTGCTCTACCACTGAGCTTTTTGTCTTCCGAGAAGGTCTTGGTAAACTGCTGAGGCTGGTTTTGGACTTGTGATCCTCCTGCCTCAGGCTCCTGTGTAGCTGGGATTATAGATGTGAGTCTAACTAACCATTCACCTCAAATCTAAACGCTGTTTCAACTCTTATTTTTGTTAATAGCACCAATGTTTTGCAAGTGACTAGGCTTAACAACTCATTCGGTTTTCTTTTTTTTTTTTCTTCTCTCAACTCCTTTCATGAACAGTTACAAAACCCCACTGGTGAGTCCCCCATAGTATTCCTCACATCACCCTTTGCTGCTTTCACTTTGGTCCTCAATTCTCACACTCTCTTAGCAGCACTACACTGACAGTTTCCTAGCGGGTCTCCTGCCTCACGTCTCCTTTTCCTTTCAAAATACCCCATATTCCGGCCAGAATGACACACTAAAACACTCATAATTTCATGATGTCATACCCTTGCTGAAATATTTCCAGGAGTTATTCCCTACTCAAGTGAAGAAACCCAACAGTGAGGAGAGTATTATAATTCTTGCTGATACGACTCTCCCCTACTTATCTTCCGACTTTTATTCACCTCGTCACAGGGCAATCCAGACTGCTCAATGCTCCGTTCTCTGGAATCTGGGCCTCCACATTCCTTTGCCCGGAATGCCGTTAGCCAGAAATAACGTTTTCATGATGTCAAGGCGGTATAGTTGAATGAATGAAAACATGTATCCAGGGACCTCGTTCCAGCAAGACTTAGACTGGCGATCTGCTATGTGATCTAGTGTGGTCCAGCGTTCTTAATCTTTAAAATGAAGGCTTCCTCTCTTGAAAGGCTATGTCGTGAAAGTACTTTGGAAACGATGCCATTCTGTCACTGGAGCATCACAGCTTTAGCTCCATCTCAGTTTCCTACCTCATCTTACAGTAACTTAGGAACATGTCTCTTCTTCCATTAAAAATACAACAACTTTCCATAGTATCTAACATAATACCTTTAATACTTAAATGTTTTTACTGAACATGCCATTGCTATCTAAAACAACTTGTCACTTCTAAAAATGGGCATGGCTGGGTGTGGTAGCACATACCTGTAACCCCAGTAACCAGGAGGCTGAGGCAGGAGGATCACTGTGAGTTCAAGGCCACCCTGATCTATACAGTGAGACCCTGTCTCAAAAACAAAAACATGGCATGGTGGCCCATGCCTGTAATCCCTGCACTCTAAGAGGCTAACACAGGAGGACTTCAAGTTCAAATCCAGCCTGGGCATCTAAACAACTCAGGAAGGCCCAGTCTCAAAATGAAAAATAAAACAGAATGGAGTTGCGGGTCAGTGTGAAGGCATTGTGTTCACTTTCCAGTAACACACACACACACACACACACACACAATATGCAAATGAAAGACATGTTCCATACAAGCCATGAGTTCTTGCTAAGCAAATGATCTTGAAAGAAAGAGGGAAACTTGCAAATCAATACTGATGGGAAAATGTACATACCAGGTAAAAAATCTTTGCTCTGAGAAGCTGACTGAAGCCTAAAAGTTGTAGGAGAAGAACTGCTTTTATAAAGCTGAGAGGATCCGCACGATTCCTGAAGTAAACAGAGGATAACAGGTTTAGGGAAGCTTTATTCCTGAAAAATCACTTAAAAGTTATACAGCTTTATTTTCTAAAAAGTTCTTGCTTTGGGCTTATTACAAATGACGCCTCAGAACTACCACAAATTATAACAGATGGAATTAAAGAAACAACATATACAGAATAATCCACCAAACGTAATTTATCAACTCACATGGCAATAATTATACACTAGACATACTAATTTCTCAGTGTATTCTACGGGATCCCAGAGGCTTTGTGCAGGAGCTAGAACTGTGGATGAGAACTCTGAATTCTGTTACTTTGATTATCTGTGGATTTAGAGCAAATGCCTGTTCTCAGGTTCCCTCCAATTGAAGGGGAGGGGAACCTTGAAAAAGTAATGGAGGTCATTCATGCCTGTGGTCCCAGCTCTACCCGAAGACTGACTTACCTGCACCGAGGCATTTGAACTCTGGTCTCAGGATCTTTGTCTGCACTATCTATCTAAAATGTGCGCAGGTTCAAGGATCAAATGCAACAGTGTGCAAAGAAGAGATTCAGAAACTACTGTGCTTTAACGTTCTTTTGAATGTATTCTTACTTTTCTATAAAGTGAGTATTTATACTCTTAAAAATGACTTAGGGATGAATGCTACTGAAGAAACCTATCTTCTAACAGCAAAGTGGATCTTCCTCTTATTAATTACTATAAGAAGAAAGTGGCATAAATATAGTGGTAGAATTACCATTAGTCATTTGCCCATCTATTACTCTGGAATATCGCTCATTGTATGAAATAATCACAGGGACAGAACGCAGTACCCGAAAGCAAGGACTGTGATTTGACTGGATGGACAATGAGCTGAGAATTAGAAGAACTGGTTTCTAATTAGCACCTAACAAATGCTAAAAGCTCCCTGGGCTTTGCTTCCCATTTGTAAAGGAAGTGGTTCAATGAAAGGGCGCTCATATTCTTTTCACACTTCAAGTTTAGCACACACCTGGAGATACACACACATGTAAATAGGTATATATATTTTTAATGTGTGATATAAACATATATTTCTTCTTTTACCTCCTGTGGACTATGGTTTACAGGTATGTTCAGTGGCGACTCCGTTTTCTTTGGGTCACATGAGTGAACAGCACTGGAAGCACTCTGTAACTGGAACGAAAACGAGCATATACTTTAATTAGAAGTAATTAAAAAGCCACGGAAGGAAAATATAACCCACTTAACATTTATTTTATGTCTGTATACAACAAGAATGGAAACAAAATCTAATCAGTTGAGAGTATACTACATACAGTGTAGAACAGGGGAAATATCTTTAGAAAAACAGACCTTGAATCCTGCCTGTACTAACTGGTTGACTTGAGCAACTTCTTGACCTCTCATAGTCTTGGAGCTTTGTCTTTAAAGGAAAACTTGAATGCTAGATTGTTCTAAAGCCTGAGATTGTAAAGATAAAATGTCTGGTGCTTAATAAATTTGGGTGTGTGTTCTATCCATAATGATTCCACATCAGCTATATGTCAGTACTGTGCTTTTTAAGTACTACTATTCTCATTTTATTGATAAGAAACTGGAGCTTAGACTAGGCGTGTTTAATGGTATGGTTGAGGCCAAGTGCAAGGTCCTGAGTTTAATTCCTGATACTCACCCCCTAAAAAAGAGAAACAATCTCTGTTTACTTATGAATACCTGTTTTGCACTAGAACTGTAAGGAGACTTAGAAGTAATATATGGAAAAAGGCTCAAAGTTTACTTGACAACATTCAATAAATACTTGCTGCTAAGCAGATGATTTATTTAAAAGCTACCCTTTTGTATTAAAATTAAGCAGTTTACTTGTCTGCCACCAGTACTAAGTGATTTAAAAACAAACATAAACATCTGCTTGCCTTCCTTAGCCCAGCATAATGACAACTGCTCTTCAGAATCTTAGCAATCAGTAGGGTCTGCTCCCGACTCTGTCATTCAGTTACAACTACCTGTTCTGTTAGGAGGAAAAACTTCTTACCGACGATCCATGTTTACAATGTAGTTTGCACAACACTCAGCGAATGTTTATAAATATGTTGCTATGTGAACGTTTAAAATTAATTTTTGGCTACGTCTGTGTTATTTAAGGCTCTTTTGTGCTTTACTGAACTTTTATTGCTTGCCTTCCTTTTTTTTAAATTTCTGAGAGGCACAGATGGGCTCACTGAGAAGAATTAAAGAAGTACATCGTCCAAAGGACTGTGGGCTCTCAAAGGGCGAGGTTCCTCACTGAAACGCTTCTGATGATGCAATATCCTTGTCTTAGTTAACTCTGCTTTTCATAACTGATGAGACGTCAGTCACACTGCTCATGAACTCGTGAATTAGTCCCGAAGAAGAAATGAAATAGAACATTAAAGAAAAAAATTCTTTCACTCAAGAGATAAGAAGTGTTTAGCTGAATAAAATGAATTATAGGAACTTGTTCAAAGAATTTTTAAAGATGGAGGTAACACAAAAAAGTCACTCTAAACAATGATCTTTACATTCAGAAATTTCTTTATGAAAGTCTTGCTGTTTTCAGAGACAGGGTCTTATTATGCTGCCTAGGTTCCGCACACTGGCTTGAACTGTTGAGTAGCTGGGACTCTTGGCATGTGTCACTGAGCCCAGCTTTTAAAAATCTGTATCTACTGTTGGCCCTGGCGCAGCTAGCTGTCTAGGGTCTAACATAAATGACTAACTTTCCTATGGTGCAATCATCTCACCTACAGAAATCAGATGATATTCTTCCCCTATCAGTTTCAGACTTGATGTATAGATTTAAAAAGTAAAAAATAACTATAGTTCCTCTAATTGAAAACAATACTTCAATCTTAAAAACGTGGAAAAAAATGTTATTGGTAAATAATATAAAAATATATACTTTAGTAAGCCAGAAACTTCTAAAAATTAAGTCATATGTATGGGATCCTAGGGTTTAAATTGTTTGGAAATAAAATAACTGGAATGGTTCTCTTTCCCTTTCACCACCAAGATGACAGTTCTTCCATCTAGCTTTGTTTAGGAGGAGAAAGGAGAAAGTTGTGAGGAGATAAAACAGGAACTGAAAAAGAAGACAAAAAACACACTTAGAGGTTTGTATTTACTACGTAGTGAAACTGGTGTGCTCTGGACGAAAGACCTGATACCTACTCAGAGTGGGAGGGTCAGTGATACGTTATCAGAGGAACCCCTCTTTCCAAAATTCAGGTGCTCACATTGCTACTGTCAGTTTTGGTTACCTACAGATGTTTCTTTTGGATTATTTCTTTTATTTTTTTATTTTTTATTTTTTTTGGTTTTTCTCCGGTACCAGGAACCGAACTCACGACCTTGCGCTTGCCAGGAAGGCGCTTTTGCCGCTGAGCTAAATCCCCAGCCCCTGGATTATTTCTTTTAAACCCAACGTTACGTAGATAGATCCAGCAAGGGATAAGCTGTATAACTACATCATTTAGCAGTAAGTAAACTGTCTATTTTGCTTGTTCGTAATTCAAGACTTCGGCTAAATGGTGGATTATCATTTTATCTTCAGTGCAATTTAATAAACTCTAACAAGTGCAAAAACCATACTTACTCTGACCATAGCTGCTTTTTGAATAAGTTTTGATAATATTAAGAAAACCTTAGTAATAAGGATCAGCTCTTCTGATCCATAAGGGCCAGACTGATGAGACAACTGCCCTAGGTAAGTCACACTGACTTCTGCTACTTTTCATGGAGTATTTGAGAAAATGAAAATACACATTCTGTTATCAGTTTTAATAAAATTCTATAGCTTGGTGTGGCATCAAGTCTCAGTAAAACCCAAGTTCACTGAATAAAAAAGCGAAGTAGAAGAACTCAGGTATTTGTTACTTTGTAGGTATTAAAACGTTAGGAAGGAAACTGTGACACACACACACACACACACACACACCCTGCCTCGTCCTTGCCACGATTTTTTTTGCTTTTTGTTTTTCTTCTGGTACCAGGAATTGAACTCATAACCTTGCGCTTGCCAGGCAGGCACTGTGCAGCTGAGCTAAACACCCAGCCCTCCTTGTCACGATTCAGGAGCACTCAGTGTCCACATTTTGGCTTCATTACCCACTTTGTATTTACATCTCATCTGTGAGGGCTCCGGAAACGGTAACCCTGAAGCTGGCCATGTGAATGAATGGAAAACTCCTGCGGTGACAAGAGGGAGATGTATTCATAGTCTCTTGTGAAAAGTATTTGTGAAAAGTATATCAAAACTAAACTGAATTAAAGACTTCTCAGGAGTGATACAGAGTTGTTTAAAGTTCTAATTTACAGCATTTCACTTGGTAATTTACCTTTGTTTTCTTTAACTGAATAACAGCTTCAAGAAAAGTTATCTCTTCAAATGTTCTCATAATTGGTTCAAGTTCTATTAAGCACTCTAAATAAAAAAAAAATAAACAGAAGTTTGGTTTCAGATTGCTTCTAATAATTAAATTGAATGCTAACATTTAGTTCATAACGCCCTACATCAACTCTTTCCCAAACTGATGACACTGACCCTCTTAACAATCTTTATTAGTAGCATAATAGACATAAGAATCAATGGAATGGAATTCACCTGCTGATCTCCAACAAGCAAGCTAAAGCCAAGTCAGTGAAATGATGGTCTTTTTTAACAGATGGTGCTAACAGTTATTCATATGGAACGGGATAATTTATACCCTTTATCTCACACCATACATAAAAATTAACTTGAAATGGATCATACACCCAAATGTAAACATAGGAGAAAATCTTCATGACTTTGAGTTAGGGAAATATCTTAGATGACATAAACAAGATCCATTAAATACTGGTCATCATATTTCAAAATTGTAAAAAATTGACACTTCAGAAAAAGGGAAAGATAAGCCGAAGACTGGGAGAATATATTCACATGTCACACATCTGCTAAATGATTTGCACCTGAAATATGCAAGGAACCCTGACAACTCAATAACAGTACAAATAATAAAAAGTGACTAAAAGGCTGTATAAAATGCCCATACTTGGCTCTACTTCTTTCCCCTAATTAAAACTTTATTATATATCACTCTTACTCTTCTGTTTTTCTATCGCCACTAATTACATTTGTTTGGGTTACTATGACGACGATGCTTGAAATTTTTGCTTATCTTCTTTGGCCTCTTGGTAGACTAGGCACTGTTGATCATTCTGTCTTTGAAACTCTCCCTCTGGTGGCTTCCAAGATACAAGAGACTGCACCTTCTACTTCCTCCCATTAACCTTGTTTCTTTTTCTCCTTCTACTCAATTTCTAAGTTTAGGCATGTTTCAGAGGTCTAATATGGGTCTCTGCTGTCTATATTCCCTATCTAGATGATCTAGTTTAGAACTATCTACAGGTCAGTGACACTCAATTTTGTATCAGGAGCTCTAGCCTCTTTGAAAAATAATTTTACCAAAGATTGTTTGTACTTGTTTTCTACCTGAACAATGCTGTTATCATCCACATATAAGTTTTTGTGTGAACATGTTTTAAATTCTCGGAGAAATTGCAGGGCTGAATGGTAAATTTATCTTTGTTTGTTTTTGAGACACTGTCTTGGTATGTAGTAGGCTGGCCTTGAACTTGCTATGTAGCCCCCGCTGATCTCAAACTCAAGGTTTGTCAGCTTCAGTCTCCTCAGTGCTGGGCTTACAAGTCTATGTGCCACCGTGTCTGGCTAGCTTTCATTTTTAAGAAACTGCCAAAGTGGTCACATGATGTTACATTCCTGTCAGCAATGCATGAGTGTTTCATTTCTGCATATCAGAGTCAAGACCTGGTATTTTCTGTCATGATTTTAATTAGTATTTTCTAGCAGTGTTAAACACTTTTTCATATCCTTTTTAGTCATTTATATATTTCTTTTGAGATTCAAATCTACTAATTTTTAAAGTTTTGACCCATTTTTTAAACCAAATTTTTTTTTTTTTTGGTTTTTCTCCGGTACCGGGAACCGAACTCATGACCTTGCGCTTGCCAGGCAGGCGCTTTTGCCGCTGAGCTAAATCCCCAGCCCCTAAACCAAATTTTTAAACATTTGACCCATTGGGTTGTCAAAGTTCTTTATCTTTCTACATACAGCTCCTTTCATCAGACACATAATATGAAAATACAATCTCCCAGTCTCTGGCTTATCTTTCTATGTTTCAGTGGTGTTATTTTGAAGTGTAAAAGTTTCCAATATTTTTAAGGCCAATTATGCAATTTTTGTGGATTCTGTTTCTGATGTCTAAACTGAGAACTCTGTGTAACACTGAAGTCACAGAAGATTTTTTCCAGCTTACATTTAACAATTTCATTTTTTTTTGTGCTGCTGGGGATCAAACCCAGGGCCTGGTGCATGGAAGACGCAAGGCAAGAACTCCACCACTGAGCCACATCCCAGACCACCGCCAGCGGACCTTCAGATGCACGATCCATTTTACCTCTGTAATGCATCTTAATTTGGCATTTACTTCCAGAATCGTCACCCGAATCAGACAACTAAGAAAGGGTTTCGTAGCCGTGGCTCTGCCTGTCTTCTTGCTTTCCTCCAGTGCTCCACACAGCAACAAGAGGGATTTCACCTGAACTCAAATTAGATCATGAAACTTACCAAGAAACACCCTGTACTGGGTTTCAACTGCATGAGTCACAAAATTCTAAGCTTTTAAGATGGGCAACAGCTTCCTCCTTTGCTCACTTCAGTCAAGCTATATGGGCTCTTTTCATTCCTTACAAATACAAAACTTTTTCCTCTTCTAATTTCAGAGCCTTTACCCTCGCTGTTTCCTCTGCCTGAGCTCTTTCACTAGGTTGTGAATGACTGGCTCTTTTTCAAGTTTTACATTTCAGCTCAAATGTTTGCTGTCCCACTCTCTTAACTAGCTACTTATTACCATGCGTATTCCCTTATAGGACTTCACGATCCCACCTGGTTTGCTTTCTCTGTCTTCTCAACTAGAACGCGAGCTTCCAGAAGTCAGTGCCTTCATGGTCTTGTTTCTACTCTATTCCCAGTGCTCATTCCAGTAAGTACACAGCACATGGGAGCTGTTTAATTAATAAATTAAAGAATTATTATCCCTTCAAATGATTTTCTTTTCTGCAAGGAATTCTCAATTTGTCTCTAGAAGTAGCTACCCACGTGTGACAGCTATGATTAACTGGAGTGAAAAGAATCTGTACACCCCCTTCAAGCTGCTCATCTCACTGGCAGTTTTGCAGGAGTGTTTTATTTATAGTATGTCAGCTATTTCTGTATTTCAAACGGTGCACATTAAAACTGTGTACTCACTTAAGAAAGATGGTCTTTCATCTGGGTTTTGTGCCCATCCACGTTCTATTAGTGAGATCATGAGAGCTCGATGAGGTATATCAAGTGGCAAACTTTCTTCATTAGTGTCAGGTCGACGTCCCTGTGATACACTATACATGATCTGCAAAGGATTGGTGACTTCTGTCCAAATGAACAGATTTTATTAGACATATACCATGATTCAGTATCTTAAATTCCAACATTAATGCAATAAAAGTAGAGAACATTGACTTTTAAAGAATAATTTACAATTCCCTTTCCTATAAAAGGAACATATGCACATCCCACGCAGGGCCAGATTTGCCTCCTCAGAGGGGAGGAGAGCACATCCTCATCTCAGGAATTCTGGGCGTGGCCACATGATCTGACTTAGTTGGTGGGATGTGAGTAGAGCAGAGCCTGACAGACAGCAGAGCTGAGTAAAGTCTGATAAAACTAAGAAGCGTTATAGCAACTAACATCTAATGTGAATAAGAAATAAATGTGTTTCCTAAGTGGCTGAGATTTTTAAAGTTGTTTGTTACAGCAAACTGCATACTACAGAACTGTCAAATTTAAAAAATAATATTATTAGGCAATGAAAAAGATTACTCTTCAGTGAGTTTCTATATAAAGAGTTTTACAGTTGGAATGGATCGTGGAAATGGTGATTCCTAACTTCATTCATCTCATCTTACAGATCATAACATGAGGACTCAAGGAATTAAGCAGTTTGACCACAGGGCCAATTACTATCAGAACAAGAATTGGAATCTTGGTTTTTCTGAATTCTAGTTCAGTGTATTTTTTGGTAAATCATGAATTCAGAACTGATAAATTGTTATTTTTTTATAGTGTATTTTATATAAAATGAATGAAAGATAGATTAAAAATATGACTACTAGCCAAGAGCGGTAGCACACACCTGTAAGCCCAGCACGTGGGAGGCTGAGGCAGGAGGATTGCCATGACTTTGAGGCCAACCTGGCTACATAACTGAGTCCAAGGCCAGCCTGAACTACCATAGCAAGTGCCTGTCTCAAAAAATAAAATTATTACAACATGATTTATCTAGAAGAAGAGAATCAAAGTATACTGACCTTCAAAAGGCTGCTTTCTTGATAACACTTCCCATGTGATAATTGCATAGCTATTTAAAATAAGAACAGTTATACATTATAAATAAATTTTGCATAATAAACTAAAATATATAGCACTAATTTTACAAGCTATGGAGATACTGTTTTTCAAAGTAGTAAGGTTGTGAAATGCTACATGAAGAATCACCATACACAGCCAAAATGATGAATGTCACATACTTACAGGCAATTAACCTTTGTTTTGAAAGGGATTGAATTTTAACTTGAAAAATTAGGAAATTAACAATAGTTCAAAGTTGCACGCAAGGACAATGTTTTCAGGACAACTTAGTAGTTATTCTTGAACACCCAGGTGAGCCATATCTTCTGCTTACATGATTCTGTTTTGCACACAAAATGAAGAGCCATAACAGACTCTCATGTAACCTTATTCTACTGACTTTTTTCTAGTTTCACTACTGCTTTCTTTCACAGTGAAAATATTCTGCACACAATTTAAACATCAGTTGTAAATTACCTGGCTGAGCTGCACAGAGTTTATGTTTGGGATAAATAATTAAGCAGGCACAAATTCTGCCATGTCACCAAATTGATTACATGTTCACAACGGACACATGGAATTGATTAGGTAATAACATTTTAGAGGAAGAGTGAGGATTACAGATTGGAAGATTTCTTCCCAAATCAAGGAATAATAAATATTTTTTCATTTTTCCTGACAGGGAATACTAACATTGAACGTAGAGACATAATTCACAAATGAATTAAAAGGACTCTTCATCTGTTCTGTTTTTATAGACTCAAATTAGCTCTGAAGAATTGTTGACGAGAACACGCTTTTTATCTTAGAAGGTGGGATTTTTTGAGTACATCATTCAAAATAAGCTAAAGGCGTCAGGGAACAGAACACATGAGAACATTTACTCATACAATAATGTGAATGCAAAAGATAGGTGTCCAGTAATGTGGGTTGGCTGGCAATGGATTCAATTTGAGGTATTAAAAATTAAAATATTTTTTTAGAAAATAATAGTTTACTTAACTATATAACTTTGTTGATGAGATACATCATTGTTAAACTGCATTCATTTTTTACCTGATTTATTGAAGATAGTAAAGTTATTTTAAAAGGTTATAAAATATGTTTAGAATAAACATAGAAAATCTGATTTTACATTTATCATAAGAGACAAGTGTAATTCACATATAAAGTGAATGCCCCACTCCCTAATGCAGAGCATTACAAGTTTCTATCTTCCTTTCTATAAAGTAATCAGTATTGAAAACACTGTATTATGCTTATTACTGTATCATAACAGTATAAGCGATCTGTACCTGAAACATAAAAATATGATTTTACCAAAAGCATTAATTTGTTGTTATGAAAGGCTCACACATATACAAATACTAGAGGCTCTTTAAATAGAAACATCCTTAGTAGGTACAAGAGGTTGTTCATTTTTCTACAAAGATGTGTAAGTAACAGACTGAAAGGATGAACAGGATAAGAAACTTAGAACTGGTAAGTTAGGTATCAGTTTGCCTCCGCTTCCCCAAGTAGCATCTGATCAAAACTCTCTGACATTATATTTCAAATTAGGAGGAAAGAAGATATGCCTAGGAGTTTTTAAAAGTTTGTAAAAGTTTCTGACAGCAAGAGAGCTTTGAAAAATATTGACCACGTGACTTATTTATTTTTACCACAGTTAAAAGAATAAAAATCACACCTTAAAATGTAGCTTCAAAATTAATCTTCTGTTTTAAACAACGTTAACTACCAGAAACACTAAATCTATTGGAAGAGAAAGTAGGTAAAAACCTCGAAGACATAGGGTAGACAGAGAGTTCATGAATAAAAACCAAATTGCACGTGAAACACTTGAAAGAATCAACAACTGGGATCTCATCCTACTGAAAAGTTTCTGCACATCTAAAGAAATCACCAGCAGAGTCAAAAGAAAACCCACAAACTTGGAAAAAATTTTAGCTGATTGTCCCTCAGACAAAGGGCTTCTATCTAGAACATATAAAGAATTAAAAAATTTCAGCCCCTCCAAATTCAAAGACCCAATCCAAAAATGGGCAGCTGAGATGAACACACATTTCTCAGACAAGGAGATACAAACGGCAAATAAATATATGAGAAAATGTTCAACATCATTAGTCATTCGAGAAATGCAAATTAAAACAACACTAAGATTCCACCTTACCCCAGTAAGAATGGCTAGCATTAAGAAATCAACCAATAACAAATGCTGGCAAGGCTGTGGAGAAATAGGAACCCTTCTCCACTGCTGGTGGGAATGCAGACTGGTGAAACCACTGTGGAAATCAGTTTGGAGATTCCTCCGAAAACTAGGTTTAGAGGTCCCATTCAACCCAGCTATCCCCCTGCTGGGTATTTTCCCAGAAGATCTAAAAACATCATATCACAGTGATATATGTGCACCTATGTTCATAGCAGCACAATTTGTAATTGCTAAAATGTGGAAGCAACCCAAATGTCCATCCACCGAGGATTGGATAAGAAAATTATGGTACTTTTATATAATGGAATATTACTCAGCTGTAAAGAAAGATAAACTCGAGGACTTTATATTTAAATGGTCACAACTAGAGACCATACTCATAAGTGAAATAAATCAAACATACATGTGCAAGCACCGCATTGTGTCAGTAGTGTAAAACTTGAAAGAGTTAATTTAAACTCGGAGGTATGATAGACACTGTGAAATGATAGGAAACCACCGAAGAGTAAAGGGCTTCTGGGATGTGGGAAAAGAGAAGGGAAAGAAGGAGAAATTTTGTATGTATGTATATACAGGATAGATAACATGGTTGTTCTTCTATCTGCTGTTTCTATGCTGAAAGAAACTGTCAGTGAGTCTTTGGTTGACCAGTATTGCATGTCTATATCTGTTTTCATGAGAAGCCACTTTGAAGATATCAATATGTAATACAACCACCATTGTTAATTCCCTACCACTTTGTTTGTAACTCTGTATTGTCTGTATTGTGCTTGTGATATGTTGTAAAATGTTGTATGTCTGTTAATGTTTCCCTCCTTTTATCCTTAAAATAAAAAAAAAAATAAATAAATAAACAACGTTAACTGAGTTCAAAAGTAACACACTGTACCTATATATATCATGCTTCACGCTGGCCCTTGTTTTTTGTCCAGGTTCATAGTTTTCAGGCGGCATATAGATGATCGTCCCTCCTTCTGGTGAAGATTTGCTACCACGTGATTGGGAGAGTGACATCATACGCCATTTGGATAAACCAAAATCTGCAATCTGTAAGAGAAGAGTAAATAGCTGAATTGAAGGATTTCTCTTCAAAAAATTCAGAAATTGACTGTCACTATGCATACACATTGAGGCATCTGACTAGAGGAAAGATGTGTATGTATGTATTTTTTTCTGTACTAGGTTTTCTTTTTTCTTTTAGTAACGGGATTGAATCCAGGACCTCTGCACTCAGATACATCTACAGCTCTTCTTATTTTTTGAGGCACAGTCTGGCTAAGTCACTAAGTTGCCTAGGCTGGGCATCAACTTACAACCCTTCTGCTTCAGTCTTCCAGAGTGCTGGGATCACAGGAATCCACCACCACGCCTGGCAAATTTCTGTATGTTCTGACAGCTTCTTACCAAATTAAATTCCTCAGCACTGTGCCCCGTAATGCTTGAACCAATACATACTAACCTGAGGTTTAACATAAAATTACAAAATTTTAAAGGGAAACTAACAATCTTGTCTTTACATTCTGCATAAGTATATATACCGAGTACTTTTTTAAGAAGTAAATATATACGAGGTCTGAAATTAAACATTCTTTATAGAAGGCATGTACTTTCCAAATCCCGATACCCCTAAAAGAATTACTATGTCTGTTCATATATTATATCACTGTCCCTGGGCTTTGTTTATAACTCAGGTTCATATGGTCTTATTCATAATGCCTTAAAAGCTACATCTTTAAATTTTCAAATAAGCAAAATCTCAGTAATAGTGAGTCATCACTGCATGATTTTGTTTGTTATTAAAAGCACAGTACCACTGGCAATAGCACAGCTCATATATTAATATAAGGCACATTTCTGTTCTTTTTTTTTTTTTTTGGTTTTTCTCCGGTACTGGGAGCCGAACTCACGACCTTGCGCTTGCCAGGCAGGCGCTTTGCCGCTGAGCTAAATCCCCAGCCCCCACATTTCTGTTCTTGACAGTGGGTACCTAAAGAACTATCAATAACAGACTGTACTTCTGATGTGTCCTTTACAGTTTTATTCAGTTGTGAATCTTGTATAGATGTTGTATGTTTTATAACTCAATACTTAAAACATTCCTTAATTAAAACAATGCAAAATGAAAGAATAGAAATAATACTTAGTGGGTAAGAGAGTATGAGATGACTTTAAAGACACAAATTACTGAGACTTTATAAAGCACAGTGAAGAAGTCAAGAGTAGAAAGAACTCCATCAGGTGCATTTGTGTTTTGATTATGTAACTCATATTTTTACTCATTTTATTAGCATTTAGATGAATTAGAGGTAAAATATTACAGCTCCCGCATCCAAAGAAGAAGGGCAGAACACATGAATCTTCCATACATTCACTATAATGAAACGGTAAGCCTAAGGGAAAAAAAGAAAAGGTCGAGAGAGAACAGGGTGCCAAACACACGAAAAGCCAAGCTTGGGAGACTCTGAAAAGCAGTAAGCTTTGATTAAGAACACAGATTCTGCAGCCAGATTATTTACATGTAATTCTAGGGCTGGGGATATAGTTCAGTGGCACAAGCGCCTGCCTGGCAAGGGCAAGGTCTTGAGTTGGATTCCCAGCACAAAAACAAAACAAAACAAAAGAAAACCAAAACCAATCATAAATGTAATTCTAATGCTACTGCGCAAGGAGCTTTGTGGCCTTGAGAAATTTAATTTTTCTGTGCCCTCCCTTACCCATCTGGAAACTTGAAATAATCTAATTTAAGAGTATGGTGAGAAAAATTATATGAATCATTCTATAAAAACACTCAGAACCATATCTGGCACACAATATGTGATCCATATATATTAGTTACTCTTGGTGTATAGTCAACAAATGTACACATGCCTCAAATTATACTGTATCCCATGTATATGTACAAATACTACTTGTCACTTAGAATTAGAAAAGAACTTTAAAGCAAAAATAAATGTTTAGTCTGATTTTTAAAAAGAAAAAAAATTGACTTTGCAAATCTACATACTAGTAGGAGACTGTCTTTAAACCCTGGTATAAAAAAAAATTATAAATGGTTGCAAAAGGGATACTCCATAAGTAACCAGAAAATGAAAGAAAAAGAATTCATGAAAAACAAATTATATCAGACCTATGCTAATTTCAGACCTCATATATATTTACTATACTATATGTTGTTCCATATATATTTACTAAAGGAAGAACCAATTTTGTTTCTCTTTTTGAGTTATTACTACACACACACACACACACACACACACACATATATGTATACACATACACACACAGAGGTATCCATATATATGGTTTATTATAAATACTATGATGTACTTTAACAATAACCCATTTGAATATTAAATTAGCAGGCTTATCTGGTATTTGCAGAAGTTCTGGAATTGATGCATCTGTTTATGCTATGTACAGAATGAAAGAAAATGCTTCTACATGACACATGTTGGGCATGTGGCAGTTTACAAAACTAATGAAATTTCTGTCTTCATGGAACTTATATTCTAATTGGGGAAGGGGGTCAGCACACCCGTTAAGGAAAAGATCACATCAGCTGGTGAAAATGCCGCGGAGACAGATCAAGGTACCAGGACGGAGAGGAACTCTGGTGGGTGGTAAGGAAGAGGCTGTTACGAGGGGGAGCAGCTCAAGCAGGAAGCCCAAGCATATCTGAGGACAGCCGTCACGCAAGGACTTTCACATGTATATGAATCAAACCGTCAGTTATTTCCTAAAAGTGCTGATGAGCAAAGCACTGACACTGACTTGGAGGTTCTTAGCGTCATGCTGAGTAGCTCTGATCTGAGCTTGGTACTGGCTCATCTTTAATCATAACTAGAAGGTATCAAAAACACTAGCTGATTAAATTTGAGGATGACATGCATCTTAGAAACTTAAAACCCTCAGACCACAGAAATAACATTTTAAAACATCCGAAGAGGTTAAAGGAATTATTCCAATGCAATAAAGTCTCCTGATTTAAAAAAGTATTCTACAAAGTAGGGGCTGGGAATTTAGCTCAGTGGCACAGTGCCTGTCTGGCAAGCACGAGGTCATGAGTTCGATTCCCGGTACTGGAAAAAAAACAAAAAAAAACCAAAAAAAAAAAAAAAAAAAAAAGGTCTATGGTAAGGAGAAGTGACTTCCATAGCAATACATGTAAAAAGGAATCTCGCAGAGATTTTACTGCCACTAAGCCCAATTTGAATACTGGGATATGACTACTCCTATAAGCTGATAAATTCTTAAAATACTATTGATTATTTAGGAACAAGGAAATGACATTTTTGCTCAATTATACAAGCATCAGAGCACATGAAGAGCATTTTGTTCATTTCTAATGATGACTATTTAAGAGATAAACCCATGTAATAAGGAAGTTGGTTGAAGAACCTAAGGATATTTAGCAGAGTGAAGGACAAAATGCAAGTGTACTCTGTTTTCCTTACAATAAGGCTGGCCCAGAAAACAAGTTCTAGCATGATTTTAGAGAACAGGGCTCATGTGCAGGGGATATCTCTTCTAAAATCACACTAGAACTTGTATTCCGGGTTGGTCTTACTTCCAGATGAACAGAGCATATGAGGGATAAAGGGATCATAGCTATCAGCAAATACTGGAAAAGCTGCTGAGCGAGAACTGAATTCACTCAGTTTACTACAAAGAAGTGAGTCAGGATCCATGAGTGAAAGCAACAGGGAAGGAATTTTGATTGATCATGTCAGACAATGTCATAATCACTGAAGTATGGATATTGACACCCCTGTTACAGAGAACTGCTTGAGAGACAGAGTTGCACTGAGGACTCAGAGGATTACCTGGCCATTAAGGTATTCTACTTGACGGTTCTATAGCTGAGGAAATAGATGAGCATGTCTCTCTGTCTCTCCCTCCCCTCTCTCTCCATTCTAGTAATACTGAGGCAGATGCTTGCTTCTTTTTCCTACTAGTTTATTTTAAAGAAAGGAAGTATCTTCAATAGTTATTTTACTCAGTTTTTCTTAAACTTTTGTGTTAATTTTTCTATTATTTCAACTTTTTACTACTTAATTCTTTGAACATTTTAAGATTTATAATAATCTGATTATGAATATTATTGAAAGAAGTACATATACAACAATATAAAAAGTAAAGTTAGTTACACTTCCTGTTAATTACTTAGCAAACTTTTTATTTGTTGTCATCAGTTAAATATAGGGTAGCTGAAGTCACTACCACTCTGGCACTTCAGCACCTCAGCTTTGCATTTCATACAAAATAAAATTCAGAATAGGTAACAGATTTCAATGAAACCTTCAGAAGATAATATAGAAGAAAATTATCAGTATCTAGAACTTGGTGAAGAGTACTTTGATACCACAATAAAAATATGATAAGGATGATAATACAAGAAAAAGGGGATAAACTGGACTTCATCCAACTTTTGCTTTGTGACAAGTTCTGTTGAAAAGATAAGATGACACATTGAAGACGGGGACAAAATATTTCAAAACTACGTATTTAATGACGGACTTATATCTAAAATATATACAGAACAGTAAGGCTGGGGATACAGCTCAGTGGTAAAATGCTTACTTTGCATTTATAGGCCTGGAGTTCCATTCCCAGCACCACACGTCAAACCAAACCAAGTCACCAACAAAAAACCAGTACAAAACCAAAAAGTGCAGTTAGAAAATGGGCATAAGACACGAAGCGGTATTTCCAAGAAAAGGTTATACAGGTGGCAAATGAGTAAAAGAAAAGGTGTTCAACACCATTAGCCATTAGGAAAATTCAAATTAAGACCATTATGAGATATCACTATATACCTATCAACAGTTTAATAACAAAACAATGACGACAACATGCTACTGAGGATGCAGAGAAGTTGGATCTCTCCTGCACTGTTCATGCAATGTGAAATGGTATAGCCACTCTGGAAAACAGTTGGTTATTTCTTAAAATACTAAACATACCCTTACCATATGACACAGCAGTTGCACTCTTAGGCATTCATCCCTGAGGATGTGCACTCGTCAGTCTCTACAAGACTGTTTATAGCAGCTTTATTATAGTCTCTTCAAACACGGTAAAAACCAAGAAGTTCCTGTTAGATGAATGGTTAAGGAGTGGTAGGTAGTACACCCATACCATGAAACACTGTTTATCAATAAAAACCACTATTGCCAAGTGACAATTTTGATGTATCTGAAGGGTATTATGTTCAGTGAACAAAGCCAATCTCAAAGTATCACATACTTTCTATTCATACAGAATTCTCAAAATGACAAAATTATAGAGACAGAACATAAATTAGTGACTATCAAGGTTAAAGGGTTAAAGGAAGTGGGAGTGAGGGAGTGGATATGATTATACAGTAGTCACAAGAGATATCTTTGTGACGATGGAACAGGGCCATACTCCATTGTTGTGCTGCATTATACTCCTAGATACATTTTTCTAATCCACACACATATATGATAACGTGACAAAGAACTACACATACACACTGTGCTGATTTCTGTCACATGCCTGGTCTTGAAACTGAACTACAATGATGTGCTGTGTAACACTGGGGAACCGGGTGAAAGGTACACGAGACCATTGTGTTATTTTTACAACTTCCTGTACATCTCTAACAATTTAATACAAGGTTAAAAAAAGGTACTGATAATGTCAGCTAAGAATCATAACGATTTTGTCTTTTGTAATTCTATCTCAGAAGTTTTAAACTAAATCCTAAATCACTGCAGCAGGAACAAGAGGCCTGAAGACAGGAATTAAGGCACCTAGAAAAGGGAAAGGTATTAGATTGACTAGGCAGAAAAACTATTACGCACAGGGATACGCATACACTTTCTTTTTTAAAAAAGTAATTACCTTAACGTGGAATTCATTATCCAACAAGATATTCTGAGTCTTCAAGTCATGATGGAGCAGAGGAGGATTCATATTGTGCAGGTAATTCACACCAAGTGCAATTTCATGCAGGATGCGAAATCTTAATGGCCAAGCAACATCAGGATACTCAGTTTTCTTCATACATGTGAAAACGAACAGAAAGAAAATTATTGTCAAAATTTTATTACATTTCATAGTTAAAAAGTTAAACATTCTACAAAGAAATGTAAACTTCGGTCTAAAGATATGCTCATTTTGCAACACAGCATTATTTTGCTATTAACACTCTTGTATCTTACTGTTTTCATATCTTAAAAAATTTAGTATTGATAATTTCCTTTAAATTTATGCTGTTCATGCAACTGCATGATGTTGGCTCTTCTTTGTTCAACTGACACAGCTTTCAATTGCTTTGTATATATCTATATGCAGACATTCACATGTTTTCTCACCTCCACTACCTGGTACTATGGCTTCATCAAGTAATTTGTGCACACTTCTATACACACACACACACACAAAATTATACACATCTTGTTTCAACCCATTCACTGAAAATTTATATTTTAATTTTGCTATTAGTGTAAGTCCATATTTACTATAATCTGCATCAGTTGAAATTATGGCATTACATTTATTTGAATAAGCATCACTATTTCATACTTTTAGTCATATCATTGATCTATCTATAGTTCCACCTGAAAAATTAAATTGAGGGTTTTCTTCTGGTAAAAGAGACAAAGATCATTTTTGATTCTAAACTTATACAATGGACACCTTTTGAACATATAATGTGTGTTTCTTGGTACTGAACCAATATCCATCTGAGCTTTCTAAAGTATTTTCTCAACATAAAAGTTAACTTTGTTTCACAGGACAACATGCACACTCAGGCAACTTTGGAAGATAGACATCAATCAGACATCAATCATCAGGCATTACGCTCCTGGATACATTTTTCTGCTATGAAAAAGCGTGCTATTGAAAGCTCAAAACTACCCTGAGAATTCTTTCTGCACATTGGTTTACTTATTGTTCAATGATCAATCTGGCAGGGAGTGGTTCAAAATATAGATGGTTTGCATGATTTCTATTTTTTTCCAATGACCTTTCTCTGTGAGGATGGGGGGTACCTCAAGGTAAATCCTATCTCAAATAATACAGTATAGGAAACCAAGAGAAATACCACATCAATGAAGAACGTTACTACTTTTGGTACATGCAGCCCCATCCCCTGGAATAACTGAATCTTTTAATCTATAAAAAGGCAATTCGTTCTGAAAGTAATAACAGTGTAAAGGAATAAGCAGGCCTCTCTACTGCAGGTGCTATATGTGGGCTTTTGATCACTGAGTCAGGGTAGATTTAATTTATGATCACTTTTATTTTTTTATTTTTTATTTTTTTGGTTTTTCTCCGGTACCGGGAACCGAACTCACGACCTTGCGCTTGTCAGGCAGGCGCTTTTGCCGCTGAGCTAAATCCCAGCCCTATGATCACTTTTAGAGTTAACACCCCTGGAGGAGCCTGCTTGCACATTTTCCAGTGAGTTCCAAATTTGGGTGCCAGAGAATCTATGGGGGTGTGGGAAGAAAACACAATTTCTACATATTTTTATTTCTCAAAAAAAGAAACCATGCTTTACTAATGTTCGTATCTTGATTCCTGTGCTTCAAATCCTGAGTAGAATGCTCTGTATTCTGAAACAAAGAGGAACTTACTCCATGAGTGACTGGCAGCACTCGCTTGTCCTCGGTCACTTACAGAGCATGTGACATAGAATTTAGGAGTGCCAGTAACTAGACTTTGTAGATTATGTTATGTAGTTTTATTTAAACCAATCCTCATAAAGTGGGCCAAATACTGCAAGATTTCTCAAGGGAAAAAACATGCAGATTGGAAATAATAATGCAAACTCGTGAAAACAATAATAATTGAATATATGTATTTAGAAAATGAGGACCCCCGAATTTGTTTATTGATGGGACTCACAATCAAAGCCAGAGTAACTGGGAACTTGAAAGGAAGGGTAAATGGTTCACACTGCTGTCTACGATTGGACAAGGTAATGTATCTGGCACTTGGAGATAATTAATCTGGCTTGTTAGTTCAGCACTTTATGAACTGATATCACTGACACTTAGTTTGAGCCCTAATAAACCATTACTATAAAATACGGCTCAGCAGTGGATTATACAGTGTGCAGAGTTTATCTTTTTATATCCCATTCCTGCCTATGTGTACATGTATATAGATATTGGGATTTAGTATAAATATCAAGGACAATAACCCATGCAAAAAAATCTAGGTCCCTTTGAGTCGAAGTCCTGACTATACAGGTTTTTTAGAAATACAAACAAAGCCACAAAGGCTGAAACTTTATCCCTACAACTGTTTTTCATTATTCTCACTTTGATTCATTTATGTACCCACAGAAAATCTGATTGAATGTGAAACCACAATACCACACAGTTTGAATAACCAAAATGATAATAACTGAAAATGTACAGTACTTACCCTATGTAGGAGTTCATTCAATGATCCATTTGGCATGTATTCAGTAACTATTCCCAAAAATTCAGGCTCAATGCAAATTCCCAAAATTGGAAGAATATAACTGAATCTGGCTTTGTGTAAAATTTCAGCCTCTCTTAAGACATCATCTCTTTCACTAAGAAAAAATACATAGTTATTTTAAGTATTTTAAAATATATAATTATCATTCCAATAGAATAACTAAGTCTGGATTTTTAAAATTAATTAGTTATGTGATCGTATGTAAAACTTTGCAACTGCTCTAGCCCTAGTTTTATCATACTTAAAAGACATAATCCTTACCCTATATATTGCACAGGCCTATTTGGAGACTAAAGTAACTCCTATAAACCACTGACAGGTAATAGTGATACACAGGTTATTACTGCACTTTTAGGAACGGGGGGGGGGGGACGGGACACACACAATGTTTGAGTAAGTTTATAAAGCCTCTCTCTGTTAGAACAATTGGTGCTTGAGCTGGGTGTGGTGGCACACGCCTGTAATCCCAGCACTCGGGAGGCTGAGGCAGGAGGATCATTGTGAGTTTGAGGCCAGCCTGGGCTACCAAGTGAGCTCAAGCCCAGCCTGAACTGCATAACAAGACCCTGTCTCAAAAACAAACAAACAAACAAACAAACCAGAACAACTGGTGCTTGAACTAACTAGTTAAGTTTACTTTGTATTAAAATATAAAGATTTAATTACATTGAATTTATGATAGAATGCCATGTAAAATTTTCTCCAAAAACCTGAATTTTAAAATATTTAATTAACTGTTGTAGCCTCAGCTGATTCGAAGATGGCTGCATCAAGGGCCCTAAGGCACATACCTAAACTCAGGAAGAGAACACTGAGAACAGGTAAGCCCTCACAACAGATCTTTGGTGTAACTCCGCATACCAGGTTCATTTGCTTATTCATAAATACAATAAATATTTACGTTTAGTAAGAATCAAGAATTTTGCTGAACATTATGGAAAATATGGTTAAAGTAAAAAGACAGTCTTTGCCTTCAAATTACCTAGAATTCTTTGGGAAAAAAAGGCAGAATGTGGCATGTGATAAATGCCACTGCTCATATACATGGGAAAAAAAAAGTCAGAGTGTTCAGAGAAAAGAGTATATTTTGGGCTAGGAATTCACTACAGTCTTCAGAGAAGCAGGATTTTGGCTGTAGCTTAAGGATGGACAGAATTTAAGCCTGGACGGAGCGGATCTAAGATAGGCAAGGCCTCCAAAACAGAGAACTTTGCTTTTCTTTTTTTCACATGTGTATCCCCAGGACTAAAGACAGTACTTACTGCATCCTGAAATAGATTCTAACAGATAAATGTTAAATGAATTCAAGGAAGTGAAAATGAAAGCCATGTTTGGGAAACTGAATTCTTTAACATAGGGCAGGACGTGTAGTAGAGTACCTAAAAGGAGTGAAAATAAGTAAGACAGGCTAGGAGGGCCAAATCTCATGAGTTCTAAAGCCAAGGGAGGGCAGTTAAATTGTGATCAAAGGTTTTGAGCAGAGGAACGACATCAGTGCACCAAAACTTTAGGATTTGAGGGCGCAGTGGGAGCTTGAAAGTCAGCTGTTAAATTTTAATATTGCTTAAGATGTGAGAGACTAGAACTCCTAAGGTAGCAGTGGAAATGGAAAGGTGGCTGAATACACTGTTCAGGCAGTGGTGACTGACATTACGGGGGATTAATAATGAAAATAAAGCGAAAGAAACTGAAGATGTCATCAGCTTTATCCCGGCTGAATGGGTGTTGGTAGTGACAGAGATAGCCATGTCTCTAGGAAAAGCCTGCTAGGCAAGGATGATGATTCGCTGACTCTCAAGCCACTCACACGCTGAATGAAGAGCTGTTGAAATAAAAATAGCAACAGACATTCCTGACCACACCACTGGGCCTGCTTTAAAAACAAAACAAAAGAAAACACAGCACAACAGAAAACAAAACAAAACAACCCAAACCCACTTACTCATTTCTTTTCTTTTTTTGGTTTTTTTTTTTCCCCCTGGTACCAGGAATCGAACTCATGACCTTCCGCTTGCCAGGCAGGCACTGTGCCGCTGAGCTAAATCCCCAGCCCCACTCATTTATTTTCTGAGTAGGTAACATACTTTATGTTTCAAAATTCAAGAGCTACAAGAAGACATAATATAAAAAGCTTTTCTCTCCTTTCCTTGTTCCTCAACCACTTAATACCCTGTGAGGAAACCAATTATATCAGTCTGTGAGCTCTGTTTAATGAAACTTACAACCCCTAAGCTCAGACAGTTTTGTATCTGCCTCTAGAGATGTGGACGGACAAGACAGCAGCAGCAGCACTTTCACATGAACCTGAGATTCCTGGAGGCTGAGAATCACTGGGGGCACGCTGCAGCAGTTGGAGGGGTAGGGGATATTTAATATACTCTGTTCTCCTTTCAAAAAGAGCAGGAGTCATTCTTTCTTCCATCATAATGCTGCTATGTGTCAGCCACTTTAAATGCACTGTTATCCTAAAAACCACCCTCTAAAGTTGGTTTCATTATCTCCACTTTAGATACTATATAAGGGCACTGGGGATTAGAAAGAGGAATAATTTTTTACTGACCATCCCCTCCCCCAAAATGACAGGGGTGTCTAAATTACAGTCACGTTGTTCTATTTTTTTTTGTTTGTTTGTTTGTTTTGTTTTGTTTGCGGGGCTGGGGATCAAACCCAGGGCCTTGTGCAGGCAAGGCAAGAGCTCTAGCACTGACCACATCCCCAGCCCACTCATGCTGTTCTAAAGCCTGTGCTCTTTCCACTCCACTGCTGGACTTGAGAAGTAGGAGAGTTTGTGAAGTTAGATTTCAGCAAGACTGAATGTGTGTGTGTTTGTGTGTGTGGGGATATAAAATGAAATATAAATCAAAAAGTAAAATATAGTTTCTGTAAGACATACTACTAAAATTACTCAACTCAAAATTTTAATTTAGTAAGTTATACTATCTACAGGGTATTGGGACAACCAACTGGATTCTTTACTCCCACGGGGTGGGAAGATGACGTGGAAGATCCACTTGTCTGACTGAAGCCAGGTTATGGAGAATGACTAATCAATAAAATAAATGTAACAGCACATGAACTTGTTTTCCGTCCAGGTAATCCCAAAGAACAATGAAAATATTCAAACCGTAGCCCAGAAGTATACATCGAGTATTTATTATTCACATGTCTGAGTGAGGAAATGGGCACCCTGAGAGACAGTTGCATAAGCTCAACTCTCGGCTCAGACTACATAAATACTGCTAATGCAGGTCTTAGGCAACAAGCGGGAGAGAAGAATGTGCTGCAGTAAAGTCGGCATTCCACTGGTTTTAGGACTTCTTTGAAGACAGAACGAGTTTCCCACCAGAGTTAGTAAAGAATCTTGTACTGTGAACGTTGTGAAGGAGCGCGGAAGGAAACTCCTTTTACCTCTTGGCCTTCAAATGGCACAAAGCTTGGGCCAAGTACAATCTTGAAGAGCAGTATCCACAATGGGAGGCCCATGTGGCTTTGGAATATGTAATGATCCAGCGGTGCTAGACGTCTACGTAATATTTTTACGCTCGTTTCAAAAATATATTCACCCTTTTTAACCAACTACCACCCTTTACAAAGGTGATCACATAGACACATGGCACTTGCCCACAGAACAGAAGGCCCGGAGTAAACACATACACATCTTGCGGACTATGGTACACAGAACTATCTCTAGAGGTGTCCCAAATCCTCTGTGGCATCCAGCGCATAATGAAAGGAAAGCCACAGGCAAACGAAAGTCCAACAACTGTGGCAGCGCTGATGCTGAGATTTATCTGGTCCCGGATACTAACAGTTTCTGGCCACTCACTTATCTCTCATGACGCAGTTTCACATTACATACCGGAGGAGGGGAAGGGAATACCGCAATCATGGATGTTATCTCACTAACAACGGAATACCGCGCCTTATTAAATCTCTGTTGGAAGGAAAACACACAAGACTCTGGTTGTAATGTTTTCCCAGAAACACAAATGAATGCTGGCCTTTTCCGAGAATAAAGACCCTGGGCTACAACTGTCCCACGGTATGAGAGATACTCAACAATTTTTGGTCATTTAAATGTCTTCCAATTCAATTCATTGTTAGCAAAATAACTCCCATTTCCTCTGGGAACAGTATTCCCAAATAGAGTGGGAAAAAGAAAGTACTAATGTAGAATTTGATTAAACTTCCAGGACTACATATAATAAACCATGAACAAAACAAAAACAGCAAGACTCAAAACCGAAATATTCAAAACAGCGGTGTCTAATAAAAATACGGCTTGAAGTGCATATACAACTTAAAATTTTCTAGGGACCACATTCAAAGTAAAAAAAAAAAACCATGAAATAAAAGTTTAACACTTTACATTTAACTCAAGGTATAAAAATACCATTCCGGCATACAAACAACATAAAATATTGAGTTTTTTCAGAAGGAAATATTTAAAATCCACTGTGGACTGTACACTTAGCAATGCAGACAGCCACGTTTCGAGGGCTCAACGGCTCCGGTGGCTAAAAGGCACCTACTGGACAGGGCAGACCCAGGGTCCCGCCGCAAGACAAAAAGTAAAAACCGAGCAGTCGAGCCCACCCCAGGACACAAGCACGCACGCGCTTCGGCGAGCGGGAGAAGGGACCCGCGCGGGCGCCAGCGCGCGGACGACGCGGCGAGGGGGCGGGCCCCCTCCTGCGGGCGCCCTACCTGTCGAGCAGCGGGGTGTGCAGGTGCAGGTGCTTCACCGCCACCTGGACGCGCCAGTCCGCGTGGCGCGCGGCCGACACCGTGCCCGAGGCGCCGCGGCTCAGGTAGCGCAGGTCGGCGAGCTTGTGGGACGGCACGGCGGGCAGCGCGCTGCAGATGGGCTCCCCGTTCATGGCGGCGGCGCGGT